TAATTTTCCTTCACAATCAGCTGTTATATAAGCTTGTTTTCTGTATAGATTTCATTGTATATAACTTATACGTACTCCTGCTCATTCAACAAATATACAACAAATATAAGACAAATTATTAAGAAATTAAAATTTGAAACGCTAATAATAATAGTTATATTGTTATACATAATACTATTAATGAATTGTAAGTTTACATAATATTATATATACTTATAACATAAAAACGAAGAACTTTGAATTGTACGGCTCATATAGTTATAAGCATATCTTCATATAGTTAAAAAATTTTATAAGTCTACTATATACGTAGTTATTTGTCATCTTTAAAAACTATTATAACATGATGCATATTTAGCGTTATACTGCATCATGAACCAAACAAAGTATGTTTCACATTCTTACAAATACATACGTTAGGTTTGAATGTTCCTTACTGCATATACTTAAGTTTACCAAATACAATAATGCAATTTAAGCAGACTTCGTCACTTAAGACAGAAGTCTACTCACTTCTTCCGTTTGGGAAGCGCTAAGAATCAGAATATTTCAATGACTATTTCGTGTAGGACTAAAGAAAAAAATAAATAAACCCTTTGTTTCACACTGGATGAACTGTTCTGAAGTCATAAATTTTTCTCTGTTACGTATTGTCACATAATTTGATTTTTTGGAGCACTCTAGGACATTATTTGCTTTGCAAAATAGTAGAATGGTAGAATTTGTTTACCAACACGATGGAACTACCGTCCACTTCACACTTGACAGTTCGTGAAAGCCTGAATGAACTGTTTCCTATCCAGTGGATAGGACGTAGGTCACCAAATTCACCAGGCCCTTATCCTTGGCCGTCCCGAAGTTCGGACCTTCCGATATCAGACAATGCCTTGCGGGGGTTCATCAAATCATATATCAGGAAGAAGCAGTAAGTGGACAATAATGCTGTGCGGTTAAGGGTGCTTGAAGCCTTCCAGAACATGACACCGCAGCTGCCAAAGCGGAGGAATCGGAGGACGTTCAGGTGTATCAGGTTCTGAAGGGATAATGGTGGTGAACATATGAACGTTTTGGGCAAATAACTGCAAGTGTTATTAGAGTTACAACAAAATAATTGCATGTATAAGGAGACATTTTGGTCACCCTGTCTTATTTATAAAATTATAAGCTTGAGGAGGAATGTTTCAAAGCAGATTTTATGATATGCTTATTGTCATATTGTTACGTTTAAAAAATCATCAGAAAAAAGAAAATATAAGGTGATGTTCTAGGCGTCCTGGCCGTTGACTTGAATAAAATAGGATTCAACAGTTTTTGCTTTAAATATTTAAAAAAACTGAAAAATGTGACAGAAATCAGTGAAATCTGCAGCTTCGACTGATTGCAAGTATAGCATGCGATTGAAAACGTCAAATACATTTTAGAAAATTTCGAAACATCTTAGTGAGCACGCTTCTTATATATGTGTTTATATACATTTTAATCATTATGCTACTGTTATGTCTTGTTCCTAAATAGTTAAGATTTAAGTTTCACTACCGTTTTTTTCTTGGCTTCCGTCACAATAATTCGTTTAGTCTAGAAGTTTATAAAAATAGACATAAAAGAATAAAACTAAATCATGTGATTTCTTAATTTCAGCTCGTGCTGTAGAACGATGAATATTGCCGAATTTGGCGAACGTACTCGTAGCTGGTGAGAGACTGCTCGTGTTACATTAATGAACAGTGAACTTGATAGTCTGTCTAGGGTTAAGTGGAAGTTGATTTTAATGTGGTAAGCTGTTACCGTGTGCCTAATTTTGCAATTTAATACGGGCAGTTGGAAATTGGGAATTTTATCGCAAGTTTGTGATATGCTTTTACATTAGGTTAAACTACAAGCTGTGGTATTTTTAGAGACGGGCGAATAGCTTTTTCCCTTTTTAAAGCGTCACTATATTTCTTCTCAAATTCAGGTTTAGTATGGGAAAATATATAATATTTATAAAGTAATATATATAACGTGAAACATATAGCATGCTTTAACAAGATATTTCTTAGAAAAATATATTTTCATACAAAAAATTTAAGTTATGCAATTTTTTCGAGCGTAATACCATTTATAAGTTTTTTATTACAATACTAATAAAATATTTACTTGTTAAATGGTGATAAAAAATTTGATAGCCATGTTGTTTAGAAATCAATTCACGATTTTAAGCAAAAATAATGTTAATATCATCTAAATGTTATGAGAAAAGAATTGTTTTATTTTACGTTATTTAAAACGCAATCATTTGTATATAATATAACGCATGCATGGGTAATGATAAGTCAGAATGCAGACGTCTTAATGCTGGCGTGGCCCAAGGATCAATTCTTGGCCCCGTTCTTTATTTGTTTTACGTAGCTGAATTTCCAAGGTACAATATTGACTTCAATACTTTTCTCGGGTGCTACGCAGATGATACTGCGTTAGCCGCTACCTCCCTCACAGCAGAACACGCCATCGCCAAACTTCAAAGCATCATGGCCGCTGTAGAGCATTGGTGCACTAAATGGAGGATTGCAATAAATGCACAGAAATCACAGCTAATTGTTATAAGAAAGAAAATTCCCAGGACTCCACTTAATGCCGCACTAAAACATTTTGATGTAGATGTGATGTGCCGATTGTACGCAAAGCTACGTATCTGGGTGTCATTCTCAGCAACAAATTAAATGCAAAGACCATGTAATTAAAGCTCGTAGCAAGGCTATGACTGCACTGCAATATCTTGAGCCGATTATAGACATAAATTCTAGATTAAATCTTACAAAGAAAAGACATTTACATACAGCGGTTATTGGACCCATCTTCCACCTACGCATCACCGGCCTGGGCGGCCGCTACTAGTACTAATATACAAAAACTACAAGTCTTTCAGAACAAGGCACTTCGTCTTATGACAAATGCGCCTTACTTCGTTTCAAATGACACTTTGCACAGAGACCTGAAAGATTGAGCGACTCGAGGATTACCTTCACCGTATGAACACAGGCTTCTTTGATAAAGCCATCAATTGCCAGAACCTTTCACATTTCAGTACTTTCATTTATGTTCCTCTACAAGAGGACTGTACCCTGAGACCTTACGCAACACATATTAATAGAAACGCAAATTTTCCGCCTTAGCTGTGAACCTGTGAGCGCTTATGAACATATGACATGTAGTTTTCAGAATTTTACCTTTTCTTGTATTTTGTGTAATATATGTATCATGCAATTATGTATCCTTCTTTTTTCTCTCGTAGTTTATATTGTGTATGTATATTATTTTAGTTTATTCTCTTGTTTGTCTACTGCTTATTTCACATGTACAAGTCAGGAACATTTACTACTCTGATTTTGCGCGTATTCCGCCTCTCCTTGGCCATTACTGTCTCCCCTTGTGACGCATGGTCACCCCGCTTTACTTACCTCCGGCCTTTTTTTCTTCATCCAGATCACACTCTCATGTGCCTTTGTGGCAGATATATAATTGAGCATGACACATCGCACTTCGCGCGATATCCCTGCCATACATGCATGATTGATTGATTGATTGAGTTTGGCATTACTCTGTCCGCCAGTCCACTCCACATACCTCGGTAAAAGTATAAATTCCGCTTAGGAGTACAAGAAATGCTGGCAGTTATTCGCAATTAAACCAAAATGCTCGTCCTGTACTAGCAAAGTTACTAAAATAAAAACAAAACAAAAAAACAAATAACTCTCAGATGAGCATCAAAATCGACCTACTGTTGCTGGAAACGATCCATAAACTGTTATGCAGATGCTAACCACGTATTTTCGTGTAGTACCGAAGTGAGTATTTCGGAAATGCCGCTAAGCAAAGAAGATAATATTGATTTTTTTACGCTTTGCTGCTCTTTAAGAGGCTCCAAAAATCCGAAGCAAAGTTCCTATAAATTTTCGACTCTATAGAATAAGTTTAGGAGTCTTTATATGAGGAGAGGAATGGATTAGAGTACAGTGGATTAGAAAATCGGTTTCATCAAGAATGCGAGTGTGTTCCAAGTACTTAGGTCATTTATTTTAATATTCCAATTTCTGATTTATTAGTGTATAAATGCTTACATTCAGAAGGTTATAAATTCAGTCTATGGAAAGTATCGGAGGTATTAATATCAGTTTAAAGATCATACTGCATCTTGATTATTGATTACTACATTGATTAATGCACCTTTCTGCAACTAAATTTTTTTATTCTTCATGATGATTTAACTCCAGTCCCCGTTAAAACATTATTAACATTTTGCTTTCAAATTACTTCAAAACATCTTTCAAAATATAACTTACCAGTATGGATTCACACTTTTAAAATAATTCTATTTTAATTAAACTTAGGAGATATATATAATCAATTAATCAATACTGTTTTAGGAAATAAATTGTTATTATATATATTATATATATATAAGAACGTTTCATAGTCATTATGCTGATATCAGCAGTCAGAACTTACTGTAGGCTGATTGAGAATTACTGTCATATTCCAAAATAAAGTAATTTACAAGTTATGGGATATGCATCATTAAAATATATCAGAGTTTTTATTTTTTATTTTTTATTATTTATTTATTTATTTATTATATATATATCTATATATTATATATATATATTATATTTTTTTTTTTTTTTGTATTGCTTTACAGTGTGAAATATCACACTGAACAGAAAAATCAATACCTGAAATTTACGAGAAGTATACTGATATAAAATGTTAAGTACTATTTTCTCAGTTTGTTGAAAAATCTGTTAGTAATTTTTCCTTTATGGTATTTATTGCTCCTTACGACAAGAGTTAACAACGTTGGATAAAAACAACAGCTTGGGTACATTTGACGTCCTCGACGAACTTCTAGCGCCATCTGTCGATCATTAAAATCTCCAATGTATTTGAAATTAAAAGCTACGTACTACATCAAAACAAAACAGTCGCCTGCGTTTACCATAGAAAAGATCAGCCTTCCCTAGTGAAGACACTAATCTGTGAAGCAAGCCTGTAGATATCTAATGACCATGGTTAAAGCTCTTAGAGATACTTTCTAGTAGATCTATTAGAGATTTACTTCCGTACTAAGACTTAGCCTCGGTCCAACGTTATAGCAGTCAATATGACTACGTCAACACTTCTCACTTCCTGTTTCGGTGGAATATGCTCTATGAGCTAGCCTATCTGTGTTCTTGAAAATCTGGTACAAGGACTCTTGTTGAAATGCAAAACCCGACACATGTTAAAGTTTACGAAAACGCGGTGGAGAGGTGATGCTATTTGATAGTAGGTGGAACTTTTCTTTTGCATTATTTTTGATGAAACCTGTATTGATATGTATGTCTAATTCATATCCAGGTAATATGTATCATGAAATTTATTTATTTCTGTTTGATACTCATGTTGAATGTTCATTTCGTAGTTTGATTAATTGTTAGCGAATTTAAAATTACGAATACAATCAATGTCTTTGTATTTTTCTCCCCCCTTCATCTTTAGTTAAGATGTCGTTTTTTTATTTATGAAATCAAAAGATATTTCATTTATAAGATGCCTAGCAATGAATGCGATTTGTAAAATTTTGGTGGGTTTTCATCCGCAGAGAACCCGTTGGCGCTTCGGGAAAGAACCCTTTTACTCGTTGCAGTTTACGATGAGCCGAGCCCGTAAGCGTGATATTTTGTAAACGTGGTTTTTAGTGATATAAATTTCAAGTTAGCAGACAGTGATAGTAAAAATTCACAGATAATAAGTATGTAGATGTAAAACTAACAGTTAAACGTGATATACGAAAATAAATTTGTATTAAATTCAAGTTAGCACAGAAAACAATGTATAAAACATAACGAAGTAAAAATTCATTTAAAAAATAACAATTAGTCTTCTTATGCTTACGTTTACTATAATATACTATATATTTTCTCTAATTCATATAGAATACTAATATTTCTATTACAAATGTCTTTTTTCACTATTAAGTACTTTGCCTGTTGATACATAAAATTGATGTATTTCGGTAAGAGCCATGCCCATATAATAAATTAATGAATGCATGACCTTCAATATATCCATTTTACATAGTTTTAAGTATTTTTTTTTTTTTTTTCAAGTTACTTGCATACAGCTTAAAGCATTTTACTTTGAAAAAATACCTATCCTTTTTCATAATATATTTCACAATACAAATAACCTTCAACAGTATCAAATTTTCTTCAGTGCATTTTTAATAAAACTAGAATTTTATACATTTTAAAATTATTATAGGGGTTGGAACCTCATGGTTCCTGCGTGCTTACAGCTGTTAATAATTAAGAACATAACGTGAACATCCATGTTTACAAATTAGCATTCACCCTTCCCGCCATAATTTCTTCCTTTGATCCCGAACTGACGACCCGAGAACCGGCATCTTTCGACGAAAACTTCTTTAATTATGCGAAAATATTCTATCTATTCGTTGTTAAAAAATTCAGAAAAATAATAATAAGAGAAAAATAATATAAATCTCCAAATGCGAACAACGACAACCTTCGCATAAGCGAATAGGATGAATTAGCTAGGTTACCAGGTTTGAACTATTATCGCCAAAGTTGGCGATGTTTACATTTACCGGGTTCTCTGCGGAATTGGTAAGTTCATTGTAAAATTTTCAAAATATTACCCCCCTCTCCCACTCTGTTTTTAAAGTAGTTACAAACTGATTTAATATTGCTTAGTGAGACATATTGTATGAGTTATGTTTTGCAGTGTTAGAGTAATATAAATTATTTGAAACAACATTGATTACTTAGTAGAGAAGATAAGTAATGCACATCAGAGGCGTGCCTAGATTGTAATCTTTGGAATATGGTAACAGGTAGTTTGGCGACATTTTGGTAAGGCGATAAAGGTTACTAGCTAGGACTCTAGCAGTGTACATGGATAAAGTCAAGAGTGTGCGCAATGACATTTTTGTGCAATTCTGGGATGTTTTTTTAAGTGAAAATAGGTCGACGTGTACATGGATACCATGTATGTGCACTTCTTGGCACAGCTTTAGTATTAGTCCTGTTAGAACACTTTGCATTTCACTATCTTGTCAGTAGATGGCTGCACCAGTCCAATACATTGGATTTGAACTTAGCATTTCAGTGGCCTGGTGATAGCTCAGACATTGGTAAAAAAATCAATTTAAATTATGAAAGAAAAGTGTAATAATTATTTGTCATTGCTAATAACTGTAATAATGTGCATTTAATTTTTTAAAATTAAGTGTGTGAATTTTCAGAACATTTTTGTTTTGCTGTGTTATTGTTTTTAAATTTTCATATGTAACTGTAACATTGACTAAAGAGTTGTTGACCATGTGTTTTTTCGTTCACGACATGTGTTGGTGTTGGATGTGCTGAAGGTGGACGTCTGTAATTTTTTCTGTATAAGTTTTAGTGCTGTTCATGATTATGAATAAAAGTTTGCAATGAGTTGAACTAATATCTGGTGACCCGTGTTTTATTAGGAATGCTAATGTTTTAGTTTGACTTAAAATTGCAAACATGCCATTGGACAGTGAATCTGCATCTACTTCAAAACTTGAAGCTAGTAAAGTGAGTGTTAAGATACCGCCATTTTGGGTAGAGAAACCTGAAATGTGGTTTTTCACCGTAGAGGCACAGTTTAAAATCAGTGGAATTACTTCCGAAGACACAAGATTTAATTACCTGGTTGCACAACTTGAACCCAAATTTATAGAAAACATTTGGGACATCATTCGAGACGACACGCCAAACAAATATTCAGCCGCTAAAGAAAGACTTCTGAGCACTTTTAAAGAAAGTGAAAACAAACGCATCAAGCGATTGCTAACTGGACTAGAATTGGGAGACCTAAAGCCCAGCCAACTACTCCGAAAAATGCGTGCCCTTGGAGATGCTGATGATGTGTCTGAAAAAATTCTGAGAACCTTATGGATGGAGAAACTGCCAGACCAAGTAAAAAACATTTTAATTGTTAGTGATGAAGGTACTGATAAGTTGGCCACAATGGCCGATAAAATTCTTGAGATGAATCCCCGGATAGAGCTTGCGAGTGTGGTCCAAGAAGCTGGCCCATATGATATGTTGCTAAAAAAAATTTCTTCACTTGAGCAACAAATTGCGACTCTGAGTGTTCAACACACAAGAGACAGACGACGAAGTCAAAGCCATCAAAGAAATAGGAGCCGCAGCAGATCCCGCAAGCGTTTTGACCCAGATGGAAAATACTGTTTTTTCCATTTCAAATTTGAAAAAAAAAATGCTACCCTGATAAATGCAAACCTCCCTGCAGTTGGAAGCAGCCGGAAAACTGCAACTAGCAGTAGAATCAGCGGCAAGCCCTGCTGCTACTGGAAACATTAATTGCCGCAAATTTCGCCTTTTTATCAAAGACAGAAAAACAGGAATCAAATTTCTTATTGACAGTGGAGCAGATATCAGCTTGATTCCAGCTGATACGAAATCTAAAAGTACCTGCACTTCATACAAGCTATACGCAGCTAACGGAACTGAAATCCCAACGTTTGGAAGTAAGGTGTTGACCGTGGACCTCGGACTACGTCGCCCATTCCAATGGCCATTTGTTGTAGCAAAAGTAAACAGAGGCATTTTAGGTGCCGATTTTCTGAATCAGTTTCACTTACTGCTTGACATTCGCCAGAGAGAAAATTAATTGATGGTGTGACAAATATGTTTGTACATAGTGATGTAATGTCAGTAACTGAAAATACTGCGATTAGCACAGTGAGCAATTCTGTAAAATTCTCTGAGCTGTTGCGAAAGTACCCTGGTATTACGAAGCCCAATTTATTGAACACCAAAGTGAAACATAAGGTCCAGCACTATATTGCTACAAAAGGACAGCCAGTTTACTCTCGTGCTCGGCAGCTTGATGCTAAGACACTGAATTTGGCAAAACAAGAGTTTCAGTTCATGTTAGACAATGGTATAATCAGGCCATCTAAATCACAGTGGGCTAGTCCTCTGCATCTGGTTACAAAGAAAGATGGAACTTTAAGACCATGTGGTGATTATAGACGTCTGAATGAGCAGACTATTCCGGACAGATACCCGATTCCTAGGATTGAGGATTTTCATTTAATCTTGAGTGGGAAAACAATTTTCTCAAAATTAGACCTATTCAAAGCATACTATCAAATACCCATAGCTGAGGAGGATAAACCAAAAACAGCCATTATTACACCATTTGGACTGTACGAGTTTAACGTTATGAGTTTTGGTCTCCGAAATGCTCCCTCAACCTTTCAAAGATTTGTACACGAGGTGTTTCGAGGGCTTGATTTCTGTTTTCCTTATCTTGATGATGTTTTAATCGCCTCGTCATCTGAGGATGAGCATAAAACACATCTGAGCTTAATTTTCGAAAGGCTTGATAACTATGGCCTATGCTTAAATGTGTCAAAGTCCGTATTTGGAGTTAAAGAAATTGAATTTTTGGGGTATCTCATTACGCCTTCTGGTTCGCAACCTCTGCCAAACAAAGTTAAAGCTATTCTTGATTATGAACTGCCATCCACTCTTCATGGCTTAAGAACGTTTTTAGGCATGGTAAATTTTTATAGGAGGTACTTGAAAGATGCAGCGCAGACCCAGGCCATGCTACATGAAATGCTTAAGGGAGCAAAGATAAAAGTAAAGTACCTTGGACTGAAGAAAGCATAAAGCAATTTGAGAAGTGCAAAACTGACTTGGCTAATACTGCCCTCTTAAGTTATCCAAAGTCTGAATGTCCATTATCTCTGTGCACTGATGCCTCAGATTGGGCAATTGGTTCAGTTTTGCAACAGTATGAAGATGGTAACTGGAAACCAGTTGCATTTTATTCAAAGAAGCTAAATGGGGCTCAAAGAAAATACAGTACATATGATCGTGAATTGCTTGGAATATATCTCTCTGTGAAGCAATTTAAATACATGCTGGAAGGACGAGATTTTCAAATTTTCACTGATCATAAACCACTGATTTTTGCATTCAAGCAAAAGAATGATAAAGCTTCACCTAGGCAGCTGCGTCAGTTACAGTACATCTCCCAGTTTACTACAAAATATACAGCACATTAGTGGAAAGAACAATATTGTAGCAGATACTCTCTCCAGAATTGAAGAGATATCTGTAATTGATTATGAAGAAATTGCAAAGGCACAACAGAATGACCCTGAGTTGAAAGAATTAATTGCAAGTAACACCTCATTAATTTTCAAGGAATATGTACTACAATCTAAAAATGTCCTATGGTGTGATACTTCAGCTAGCAATATTCGCCCATATGTACCTCAAAGTTTTCGCAAGAAAATTTTTGATCATATCCATAGTTTTGCACATCCTGGTGTCAGATCCACTGTAAAACAGATAACTGCCAGATTTGTATGGCCCAGGATGATGAAGAAACAAGCAAGTGATTGGGCTAGAGCTTGTCTGCAGTGCCAGAAAGTTAAAGTAACAAGACACACCAAATCGACCTTTGGTACATATCAAGAACCTGATGCCAGATTTAGCATCATCCATATTGATTTGATTGGGCCTTTGCCACCATCTAATGGTAAAATTTACTGTCTAACATGCATTGATAGATTTTCCTGTTGGATGGAGGTAGTTCCATTAGAAGAGATCACTGCAGAACTGGTGAGTAAAGCTTTTTATGACCATTGGGTGAGCAGATTTGGAGTGCCACAGTGTATTGTAACTGACCAAGGTCGCCAGTTTACCTCCCAAATGTTTAAAAATCTTGCTGCTATTTGTGGTGCTAAACTTCTGCATACAACGCCCTATCATCCCCAATGTAATGGGAAAATAGAGCGCTTTCACAGGACACTAAAGGCTGCAATAAAAGCTCACAATAATGTAAAATGGAGTGATATGCTACCCACTATTTTGTTGGGTTTAAGAGCTGCTATCAGAGATGGTACAAACTATTCTGTTGCTCAAATGGTATATGGTACCAATATCAGGCTTCCTGGTGAATTTTTTGAAAAACCCAGTGTCCACGTTGAACCTGACACATTTGTGTACAATCTTCAGCAGCAGATGGCCCTAGTAAAGCCAATGAAGTCTGCAGATACATGTCAATCTTATCAAAAAGTTTTTGTACATAGAGATTTAAGGACCTGTACTCATGTGTTCGTTCGAGTTGATCGGGTGAAAAAACCACTAGAGCCTGCATATGATGGCCCATTTCCTGTAGCAGAAAGACATGATAAGTATTATTCTGTGCATATTAAAGGAAAAGATGTTAACATCTCTATTGATAGGCTGAAACCTGCTTACCTTATGAATGCAGATAGCATGCCAGAACTACCGAATCAGCTTCTTGACGACGATGTCAATGGTGGATCCTCAAAGGAAATGCATCATAGTAATTTCCCAACAAACACTCGTTGTGGTAGAGAAATAAAACTTCCTGTTAGGTTTCGAACTTAAAACTAAATCACAACTCTTATCTCTTGTTACTGCAAATATTATTATTCATGATCTACTTCCCCAATTAAGGCTAATGTCATATCGTATTTATCTCCTTCACAATAATGTATACTGATTTTATAATTTCTAATTTATGTATCTTCTGTAATATACCAGAGTCGTAGTGGTGTAGATATTGAGCAATATATTACTGTTCATGAATATATTCAGATATACTTTCCATATTGTTTTTACTGTTCTAGAAATTTTTGCTTCAAATTCTATATGCATGTATTAGCTGTAAGGGTTGGTATTATTGTGTTTTGGAATACAGTGTGTTTTTGCTTAGGCATAACATCTGCATTACCTCCTTAGAAGCTATCTTATAAAATACAATTATTGTTTCAGTTAGAATATTTCAGTGCTATATAGTGTAGTGCACATATATCTATGTATTATGAGATATGTCTTTTTCACTAATTTGTTAATGTTAGATTGCAGTATTGAAAATTAAGAATTTGAGCTGTATGTAAATAAGTAGTGTTCTAATCATGTTGGTATTAGGCATATATGAGATTTAGAGCAAATATAATTTCTATCCAGCTGCAGCTTAATGCAGTACTAATACCTGTTTTTCAGAAAACTAATAATTTTCAAAGAATATTAGTTGCTAAGGTGTATATTCAGGACAGTGTTGCATTGAGTCAGTCAGGAGTGAGTAAAATAAGAAAAGTGCATTTGGTGTTTAACCCTTTGAAGGGCACCGGTATATAATATATACCGGTTGTTTGTCAATTTTTTAACCTCCGAAAAAATGCTAATTTTGCTACACCAAAAGCTGTAATCTTGTGTTTCAAGTGTTTCCTTTTGATTCTAAATGGCAGCATAGTCCTATTAGTGCTCAATATTTTTCAGTTATGAAATTAATAAACCTCTTTCAAAGGTGTCATGTTTCAATATTCATAAATTCCATTGGAGGGGAGGAAAAAATTCAAAATCTTCAAATATATGACGCACACATGCTGAACCTTATATATTTAATGCATTTCAATCAAAACTAATAATTAAAAGAATATTATTTATACGTTTTTTAATGCCGGTATATATTATATACCGGTGCCCCTACTGAGGGTACCTTGCCAATAGATGGCAGCACCAGGCTTCTCTTTCTCTACTCTCTGAGATGACAGAATTTCTTTATATTATAATAGTATATAACGTAGTAACTTGTTTATGATTAATTTACAAGTTGTTTAGGATTCATGAATATATATCATGTTCGATGAGTGGCATGGGTGAATTTAATAATCCTGTGCTAGGACTGAATACAAGTATATATTAGTTTTGTGTTTATTCTTTGTATACTCCACTCGAGTTTTTCATTCGTCTCTGTTTACGCTAAAGATTTTAATTTCAAGCACTTCGCCCTTTGCCCACGCTAAAAGACTCATCAGATTTCAATAATTCTCGTCTGGCGTCAAAACGTTAAACAACTGTAGGAGGTTGAGTGTGGCAAGTTAGCCCCTAAAGACCCCCGTTGTTTCGTGTTTTCCAAAATCCTACAATGCATCTAAAATGAAAAGAAGTGATTGATAACTAATTTGTCACGCAGGTGTCACACCACTTCACAAAGGAACTGTGATAACATCACACAAAGGGAAAGGTCACTTAAAAATACCGGACATTGGAAATGCACTTTAGCTCCATCTCTTAGTGTAATGGAAAAACTGCTGATTTGAAAGCATGCTTTTATTCATTAGGGTATCTTCTTTGTTACTTTCACATAAGAGACTAGGGAACACAAGAAAATAGGGTTAGGATACAAATAGGTGGTTTTCGAAATACATTTTCTCAGTTGGTGAAAGGAGGGAAAATATTTCTGAGGCCAGTTTTAGATGCAAAACATTTACCTTTGGAAGGAAAAAAACGGGCAAATTTTTAAATAATTTAGAACAGTGAAGTTTTATAGAAAATGCCTAAAAGAGGACTCACTGTAGAGGAAGCACTTACTCTGTTCGAAGAGCTTCCTTCTGATGGCTCAGATATTGCGGTTTCCTGATAATTCTGATGAAGAATATTCAGCACAAAATAAAGAAGTATATGTCTCGTATGAATCAGACTTCAGATGAGAATCAAAGTCGTGCTGATGATATGCAAGAGATAGACCCTTCTCAGGCATTAGAAATAACGTGGGAAAAAAGAAATGACGTGACAGTAAATCCGGAATTTTCGGAAAGATCAGGGCCATCGGATGAAGTTTTGTCCATGGAAGACGAATTCTCCTATTGCCCTATTTCTGTTTTTATTTGACATGGTGCTGATGGAAAATGTAGTTTTCCAGACGAATTTATATGCAACACAAAAGGACAAACCTTTTAACAGTTTAAATTTAAACGAACTGTTAAAATTCTTAGGAATAAATTTATTGATGGGAATAAAGAGGATCCCCAGTTACAGGGATTATTGGTCGTCTACACCAGAAATGCATGATGCATACATTTCTGATCAAATGTCCGTGAAACGATTTACGTGGATTTTATCCCATCTACACCTGAATGATAATACTGTTCAACCTCAGAGGGGATCCCCAGAATTTGATAAACTATATAAATTGCGGCCAATTTTGTCAAATTTGGCTGAAAAGTTTTTGAATGCATTACAACCACACCAAAATCAAGCTGTAGACGAGTCGATGATCAAATTTAAAGGTCGTTGTTCGTTGAAGCAATACATGCCAAAGAAACCGATCAAACGTGGCTACAAGGTATGGATGCAATGCGGATGCGATGAAAGCGGATTCGTCTGCCAATTTGACATTTATACTGGCAAAACAGGTGAAGTAGCAGAAAAAAATTTAGCGGAAAGAGCAGTAAAAAATTTGTGCACTCCGTTATATGGGAAAAATCACAACCTTTTTATGGACAATTTTTTCACAACGTATAATTTATTTAGGTTTCTAAAAACGCAAAATATTTATTGTTGTGGAACAGTAAATATGAATAGGAAGAACCTTCCTAAAAATCTTAAAGAGGAAAAAGTCTTAGGCAGAGGAGATTTTGATTTCTCAGTTAGCAGCGACAAGATTACATGCATAAAATGGAAACATAAGAGATGCGTGAATGTCTTATCAAATCAAAATCAACCGACTGAAATTCTTCAAGTACAAAGAAAGGAAAAAGACGGAAATATGAAAAACATTCCCTGTCCAAAAGCTATTGTGGACTATAATAATAACATGGGATTTGTAGATCACTTTGATCATTTGAAAAGTATATATGAAATGACAGGAAAAGCAAAAAATGGTGACATAGAATTTTTTCCATTTTTTAGATGTAACTGTAGTAAACTCTTATATTTTGCATAAAATATGCCACGAAAAATCTGAACAAAAACCTCTGAAAGATTTTCGGCTAGAAATTGTCACAGGATTAATAAACTTGGGCAAAAGTGATAATATTCCTAAACGTAAAATTTCGGTGAAATCACCTGTTTCCGTAAAAGTACACAAACCCTTTGTACCACAAGCAAAAAGGTTGAAACATGCTGAGCATCTTGCAGTGCGATGCACACTAAGACGATGCGCATTATGCAGCACGGAAAAGAAACAAAAAAGAACAAAATGGATTTGTTCTACTTGTGATATTCCTTTATGCATGCAAACAAATAGTGAAACATGTTTCAAGAAGTTTCATTCGCAATAGCATTTCATGGATAAGTACATGTTTATATTAATTGTAAAATTCATAAAAAGCTATTGGCAGTTTTATGTATAATATTTTATGCTTCAGGTTTTATAATTTGCTACAATAATAAAACGAAATTTTATAAACTTAGAAAATTAATTGTAAAATAAATGCTATTTTTTTCTGATGAACATTTGGCCATATATTCCAGAAAACATCTGTATAACATATTTAGAATTATTTTGATGTTATTAATTAATTATATAAATTTTCTTTGAAAAAAGATAACAAAAAAGTCTAACATTTCCTTTTTTCCATTACAAATATATTCATTATACACTTCATTTTAGACGTATACAATTTTTTTTAAAATTTTCTATGGTAATATTAACAAAATAATATAACCTGTGTTTGTGAAAAAGTTTAAAAGATGGTTCCACAGGACACATGGGCCTGATAATAAAAAAAAGGGGGGGCTTCTATTGCAGAGATATTTTTCTTCAGCTAAATTATATATTACTACCTTATTTATTCAAAAGTTGAAAAGGGGCCCTTAGGAGGTCAAAGGGGCTGAAAATCGCAATAAGAGCTTTGAGACGTATAAAATAATAAAATTGTTTAACAGCATTTCTCCCTGAACAAAGTGATATATTACAACCTATATTTACAAAAAATTAAAAGGGGCCCTTATGAGCCTTGATAGTCGGAAATGTGTGTGTGTGTGTGCGGGGGGGGATTCTTGGTATCATAGCAGGAAGCATGCTCTTCTTTATATATTATTTAAAGCATAAAATATAATAATTTTTAAAATGCAAGTCATTTTTTAAATAGACATGTCAGAGGATTAATAAACTTGACATGTCAGAGTCGTAGAGTTTCATTTTTTAATTTTCGGCTGTGTTACATCTCCTTGTAACATTATAATAGCTCATTTACAGCATGATAGGCTTACACATGCAGTGTTATATTTACTAAATTTTTTCATAAAATAATTATATTGAATTTAAATCAATTTCACCACCTTTTTACCCATATTTTACATAAATATGTTCAGCTGGATTTCATCGTCAAAATGTATAAAAACATTAATTTAATTTTTTAAATTTTAAATTTCTAGCTAAATTCTAAAAGTTTTTGTCTTTAGATTTGCATAACTATATTCAAGCACCCATCTCTACAGACGTACATCAAAAGAACGCAAAGTTAAATTAAAAAACAAAAATTAACAACTGGCAGCTACCTGGGAAAAAAATGTCGTAGAGGGGCACCGGTATAAAATATATACCGGCTCTCAAAATTCAGGATTTTGCTCTAGATTTTTTTTAAGTCTCAATTTTGTGTTCTTAGGGTCCATAAGTTACAATTCATGCAAAATTTTACAACAATTTAAATTTTTTTACATACCGCCCCTCAAAGGGTTAAAATACCTGCTATGAAATGTGAAAATTTTAGTAATACTGATCAGATTTTTATTGGTGTTAACTATTTTCATGTCACTGAAAGCATGTCATTGAATTGTTCAGTTAAGCCCAGATATGGAGTATGTATGTATATATTAACTTTGAGATATAATAATGAAATGTATAATGAATGTATAGAATATTGAATGTGGTATCTACAATTATGTGGATTTCCAGCATGGAACAAAAAAGATTAGTGATATATCTTGAAGTTCCAGCTACCTTAATTATTATTTGTATTTTTAATTTACTATAACCTTACAATTCAGAACCAGATGCAAGCTTAGAAATTCATTCTTTTATACGTGAAGTGCATTTTGATCATGAGATGTAGTGATCACGTTATTCGATTATTGAACCTTACCAATGCAATTTAAGTATCGTAACTTAGTTACTGGTGAGGGAGTAATGTTTTAGAACACTTTGCATTTCACTATCTTGTCAGTAGATGGCTTGCACCAGTCCAATACATTGGATTTTGAACTTAGCATTTCAGTGGCCTGGTGATAGCTCAGACATTGGTAAAAAAATCAATTTAAATTATGAAAGAAAAGTGTAATAATTATTTGGTCATTGCTAATAACTGTAATAATGTGCAGTTAATTTTTTAAAATTAAGTGTGTGAATTTTCAGAACATTTTTGTTTTGCTGTGTTATTGTTTTTAAATTTTCATATGTAACTGTAACATTGACTAAAGAGTTGTTGACCATGTGCTTTTTCGTTCAGGACATGTGTTGGTGTTGGATGTGCTGAAGGTGGACGTCTGTAATTTTTTCTGTATAAGTTTTAGTGCTGTTCATGATTATGAATAAAAGTTTGCAATGAGTTGAACTAATAGTCCTTTTAGGCGAGAAATTTGTTTGGCGACATTTTGGAGGGATAAATGAAAAATTATGATAACCTTGGTAACCCTAAATACTGGGCTTTAAAAACATGCCGCCATTTCTGTCCACGTAACTTAAACGAATTTGGTAGATATCAGAGCTTTCATGGCAGGAGGGATAAATTGCATGTTTTTCTTAAAGTTACTTTTGTGTTAGGAAAGTACAACATTTAAAATATTTTTTAAAAAGCCAAAATTTGGTAGTTAAAACTGGAGCTTTTAATATTACATCACATAAGTCTTTACATTTTTTCATATGTCAACTCTGCATGCTAAGGAGATCAAAATTAGCATGGTCTAAAAATACTTATTTGCCTCATATTAGAAATATAGGGATGTGTAATTGCATGAATTCATAGGTTCAAATCAGGACCAAAATTAGGTTTCATTATTGCTTTTATAAAATTTTTATAATTTGTGTGACTATCTAAAATATAATGTTGCTTAGATTATGGAATATATTGCTTATAATTTAGAGTTCTCAAATTTTGTAAATCTGACAACCTAATAGCTGTATATGAATAACCTTCACTGAGTATTATTACTTTCATTAATAGTATGTTGACAGAACAGTCGACTTTTTATTTTAAATTTTATGCAAATTTTCTACATTACTTAAACATTTTACCTAACAGAAATCTGAATTTTTTGTAATAAAAACTCTATAATAAAAGTAAGAGTACAATTATATAAAAATTTGACTACATGGCAAGCACTTAGATACCGATTTCAATGTCTTTAAATGTTATTATTATAAAGTTTAGATATATTCTTATTAAGATATACTTTTATTCTGTTATAAAGTTTAGATGTACAGAACAGAAGGCACACTTTGTGCTTGTGGCAACCACTTGTGGCAAGATAACTTATGATAACAATTAAGTTCAAATGTAAAATTTAAATTCAAATAAATTTGTAGCCAAAGGCTACACAAATCAATTTAATGCAAAGTTAGTTAAAAACTTAACCGGCATGGAATTCAACGATCAGCAATTATAATGCAAGACTGAAGACTACAAATCTTACCTTATCTAGCAACCTAGTAATGTGGTCTCAAAGGCAAAACACGATTTGTTTTACAAACTAAAAACTTCATTTGGATTCTGGTGAGAAAACGGATGGAGGAAATTGACAGTAAAGATCCCAAGCATAAAATAACTCTGGTTACAAAATAAAGGAACGTTACAATGTACTTTGTTCCCTGATTAATTATTCACTACATGAAATAGTGTAATGCATTTTTGTTTGCATCATATACAAATTATTTATTTTATTTAAATGCTGTCCAAAACTGAACAGGATTTTGCAAACATATTGACCATATTTTTCGACCTATAGATGCAACACTTCTTCACTTCAGAAGTAAGATTTAGAATTAAGAAATAAGAAAAATAAGAGAGAATTATGAATAGAAAATAAATATATATGCTGGCTAGCAGAAGAAGAAGAAGGATGCCTTCATAAAGTACTTTTTAAGAGAAACTGGCTCAGATTCACATTACATGTACGGAAAACCACAAAAACTCCCATATAGCCAGCCTGAACTACCACTGTTCAGTGGCTTATCACTCCACTACTAGTGGATTCCAATGACTGTTCGAATTTTTCACAAAAGTCATCATTTAAGATTATTGTATTATTACCATTGGTACAAAATTTACTCATTATAATAATTTAATTTTAGCTTTTAAATTATAATCATAAATTACTTGTAATAAATTGAGGGATTAAAAAAGACCCACTTCTTAATATTTTTACTATTTACAAAATTTAATCATAAAATGTATTTCTAACACTGGTACAAAACTTGCCCATTATAATTTAATTTGATTTCCTTCACTTTGAAATATTTTTTTATTTTCTTTTAATAACAGAATCTAAGAAACTAAAGTAACATATACTAGTTTGAAATGCATTTATTAACCTTTTGTAAATTTCATTATTCATAACATAAAAATTAACCTTTTTTTAATTTAAAATATTAGCTAAGTACTAATATAATATAAATATTAGCGAACTACTTGAAATATTTATGTTTAATACATTAATATTATATTTTGTAATTTAAAATATTAGCCTTTTGTAAATTTCATGTTCATTACTCATAACATAATCACTGCCATAAATTCATTTACGGTAGTGTTTCAAGAATTTATCATAGCAGTACTAGAAATGTTGAAAATTAGAGAAAGACTGTTTATTCTGATCAAGAGCTTATTTTTTAGGATTGTCATTTAGTCTAGATCGGATTTTGTTGACAATCCGCCATTTTTTTCCGATCTTCAAAGCTGGGTCTACCTTAGTGACCAAAGTTTGTCGCCAAATCAAAAAATCGCCAAAAGGACCACTACTAAAGCTGTTTTAAATTCTTAAAAACGCAGCAAGCAGTTTGCGATTCTGCACTTTCTCCCAATTTCACACCTAATCTTTGTCATGATTAAGCACTTTTGTTCCATAAAAGTTCTAGCATAAGCGTAAATAGGCTAGCAGATTGTTGGAAAAAAATGTTGAGTAAAAAAAAAAAAAGAAAAAAAACATGCCTTTACTTCGTGAAAACAAAATGGCGTCCAAACAAAAACTAGCAGCATGCTGTACCAGGGTTGGTCGCTAAAAAATCGCCAAGTTACCATAATCCAAAGATTAACCAAAACGGCATAATAAACGCTCTTCTGTGTAAAAAATAAAAAATTAATCTGGTTTAATATTATATTATATGAACATAATTTGCATTTAAAAAGTATTACTGACTGGTGAAAATTGCTAAATTATCACTGATTAGTTTAAAACAAGTAAAGTAATTGCTATAAATATCGGGGAGATTGACTGGGGGATAACTCTCTTGTCCTGGCTAAGATATGTGCATAATCAGTCCTAGCAGTGACTGGAACCATTGATTCTTTGATGATATGTTCAGACTCGGCAGGGACCGTCTTGTCTGCTTCTTGGTTGTGAGGGAATGTTTAGACATTGAAAGGCTGTCCTTAGGGTTTCAGCTGTCCTAGATCAACATAGGGAGCCAGACTAAGACCTGTATTTCATTCTCTCTGTAGGTCACTGGTTGGGGCCCAATTGCCACTGACTTTTGATTCAGTTCTTTGGCTGTGTTCAAATTTGTCACCCAGGGTTGAGGGCAGGAGCTGTTATGCCACCCTGGACGCCTCTGGAGAAAGAGGTGCAATAACCAAAATACCCGGGTCTCTGGGAGTCTCCATCTCTAATACTATTGTTATAAATCCGTCCAATACTGTTGTTATAAATGTATTAAGTACATTTTCATGCATTTTAAATAATTTATTAAAATATTTAAGTGTACTTGATTATTTAATTCACGAGTTAAGTACAATAGCCGATTCTGACTGTTTTTTTAGACAAAATTAAGATCTCAAATAATTTATTATTAAGTTGTCTGAAGTTTTTCAGCTATAACTTTAGTAAACTGTAATGCTGAGTTATTCTTAATGCAGTTTCCGCATTCATTTATGAATTATTTTTAAAAGACCTAAGTTTGTTACTATTTAGTGACTAGAAATGAAAATACTTGGTTTTATAACTAAATGCTTTTTAAGGAAATTCTGAAGCATTAATCATATAAAGTAAAACTTATAAAAATATAATTATGGCTTTTCTTTTTACACCGGACAAAATACTGCGTACCTGTAGTTATGTTGGCTTTAAAAGTATATATTTATTCAAATGGACTACAGTATTACACACCTGCAGCTTTGTTACTTTCAACAATATGTTCTCTTTCTGAATTTTATATATCTTCCATAGTCCAGTTAATTAACTCTCTCAGTATCCTGAACTGTTTGAAACCAGACTAATTTGGGAATAAGATGAGAAAAATGATAACTGATTTAAAAAAAAAAAAACGATAATATGAAAACAAAGATATAAATAAAAACCATAAACAAATTCAAAGACCCGTATTAAATATAATTTTTAAATTGCTTGTTTTCTGCAGTTCTTTCTTTATTCCCCGAAAATTGCAATATCGATTTGCAGTTCTTCTTTGACCTTTTCTTTTTATATGTTGTTTTGCAGCTATAAATTGCACTGTTTAATCGTTGTAAGTCTGTGTTCAACATTAAGATCACCTTCCGTAATATTGCTCTGATAAGGTTTCAACCATTCTAATAATTTTTATTGTTGTTCAGCTTCTCATGTAGTCACTTCAGCACAGTTGTTGTTGTCATCTGAGTTGTCCTCCCATTCTTTATAAAACTGTTATTCAGCTATGTTAATAAGCATTTCATTATGTAATTCGTGGTTGTTTGATTTGATGTACTCATTTACCTAGATAGAATCATCACTCTTTGAAATCAAGTTGCTGTTCAGTTCTGTATATAATTAATGACTTAAAATGTTTCTGATTATTGTAGCTGTTCCAAAATTCCATTTAAGTAAATGCATTTTCTCTTGTTGTAGCTTATATGGTTTGTGGAAATGTGCAACCCAAATAATAGGCTTTAAATATTGATTGTTTGCTGTCTAAACCAAAGAACAAATGTCCCCAGCTAAGCTACCTACACATATAACAAGGCTTTCCAGAAAATATGTAAGGTTTCACTCACTTTAAAACTGCATAAAATTTAATTACAAAGAGCAAGGCTTGACTGTGTAAAGAGAAAAACTGATAATTTCTGTATTAAAAAATAATTATTTGAGTTAATTTCTTAGTGTTTATTTTTATTTGGCTGAATTAAAATTTAGTTTGTTTTGAAATTTTTAGACCAGGCTAATAAACCTGGTATGTAAGGTATTGTTCATATAGTGGTTAACCCCTTAAGGACCAGTGCCGGGAAAACAAAGCGCAGTCACGAGATCGGACCCGCTGAAATGGATTGTCACCTCTGGCCCGCGCATTTTCAGCATTTAAGCCTAATTTTACAAAAAAAAAAAAAAAAAAAAAAAAAAATGTTTAAAATCAGCATTTTAATATTATGACTTCAATTTTTGAAGTTGCGTATTTTATGTACTTGTTTTTAATATGTATTAATATAAAGAATATCACATTAATAGAAATAAATTGAACAGGAAAAATACTAAAATCATAACTATACACACAGAAATAAATACTATAAACATGAAAAAAAATTACAAATACAAAATTAAAAAAAAAAAAAAAAACCTAAACAAGAATTATCTGTAGGTAATTAAATTCCAATTTAAAAATTCTGCTGTGTGTGGAATAATTCAAAACAAAGATCGACACACAGCCGTACATTACATATTTTACACTCAAAATACGTTGTTTATTTTTGCTTTTCCTTGGTTTTAGCGCACACAGCACAGCTTTTCCTACCTTTATTACCTTTTCCGTCAATGTAAATTTTCAGAAACTGTCTTCCAGTTAGACGGAAAGGTCGAGTGTCTGATGACTTTGGACAGGTTTTTAAGTAAGGTCTTTTAGCCATGGCTAACGGAATGAACTGAGTATAACCCCAACACCATGTCCCAAAACTTCTTCAAAAGACACTCAGAAATATTTCATCCTCAAAACCTGTATGACATCAGGTTTATATTAGAAAACTTCCTGTTTTTTAAATTGAAAACAGTGTCCACGATGACCGGAAAGTGGTCAAGGAAAGACCTCCCCCCCCACTGGCAGGATATGTTACTGATCACGTCAATGTAAAGTAAATATATACCAAAATATAATGCCTGTGTTATTATATATAATGACCTATTAAATCGAGTAAGAAAAACAAAAACGTTGGCTCTTTCCTGAGAAAGGCGAGTTAATAAGATGCATTACACATTGAGAAAGGTGAGTCTTTCCCCTTCTGGTAATAATGTTGCAATGTTACTTTTTAATTAACCAAGAAAGTTTATGTTAAGTTTCAAAATAAATAGAAACACACACACACACACACACACACACACAAAAAAAGAAAGAAAGAAAATCCTAACGAAATAAACAAAAACGCCTGTGCTTCTTTAATGCACAGGCGTACTTATAAAGAGTTGTGATTTCCAGTTTGTTTATTTCAATAAATATATGAAAACCAGAAGCACAAAACAGAAACTAATGCCAGTATATGAAAGTCAAATGCCGTATGAATCGACCTATGTGAAAACAGTTGCCACTTATCTCCATCTGCTGGCTTATAAAAATTCAAATAAATCGTTCCGTTTTAGTGTTACGTATATGGGATGCTGGATTGGTAGGAGTAGAATCATTGCATCGCGGATACGTGACGCTGGTCCTGAACGGGTTAATGACACTACCTGCTATACTGATGGGCTTGGGTTTGAATCCTGGAAATGACATGGATCTTTGTTAAGGTATAATGTCTATATGGCAAGGAGGGGAGCACACAAAGTACCTAGCATGTCAAACATTCTCTCGAGAGGTTGCTGGTAGGGGAAGAGGGATGGGAGACCCTCGGACTGCCCCCCTCCAGTATATTCTCCCTGAAAAATGGGGCAGAAGCTTAACAGTTAGCTGATTTCAGCTATATCACATTCACCTGTGATACTATAGATGTGCTGGCTTAGTTTCTGTCTACCTGTTTAGAAAAATATATGGCTATGCTTAACACTGTCAGGAATCCTATGAATATGCTGCTGTAAAAAACAATTTATGATTTTACCGTTGAATTTGATGTGGCATAAGCGTGAAGAACGCAGTATTTTGTAATGAAGTTAAAAAGAAAAAATGTTGTGTTAGCAGGAATGAGCCCAAGAGCAGATTGGCAATCTGAGAGCTTGATATCATAGAAAATCCAGTTAGAAATCTTTTTTAAAAATCTTTTCAGATATTTTTTGGTTAAGTTTTTTATTGATAATTAATTTTCTCTTGTTTTATCTTCACTTGAGGCAGATGCCTAACTTCGCCTGTTGTCGTGGTTTAGGGGGTTCTCAAGGGTCCCTGAACAACTTCACTCTGTTATGGTGAGCATTCTTTCAGAGGCAGTGCTGAACAATTTAATGGTGTTATTGCATGTATGACAAAGCTTTGCACAGCTTTTTCACGAACTGTGCAAAGCTTTTTCTGCACAGTTCGTTTTGATTTAATATGCATGTAACAAGAGGATTTGGAAATCCAGAAATCTTATGTCACAAGGTTGTTTGAAGCCCAGATGTGAATGTTTGGTGTGAGATGCTGCATGACAAGATTTTAGAACCATTTATCTTTAATGAACAAACAAAAATGGCCAGAGTTTAGCTTGATACATTGATTAATTGCATTTGCCTACACTTGGAAGTTCGTCAGCCAGAGCTGATTTTGCTAGTCATCTAGGTTTTGTAACTTGTACTTTGAACCATGTTTGTGAAAATGTGACCAGTACTAAAAATATAAATTGTTCCATTCCCAAGCTATTAAAGTTGTTCAGGCACTTTGTGGATGCCTTGTGTGTGTGTATATATATAATAGATAATTATTAATTTTCTATTTATGATTATCTCATATATATATTTGAACCAGATGTGTAATAGTTCATTTCTGTATCATGATCAAATTCAGTATTTTATTTCTTTTTTGATTGCAAAGGGATTTCAGCAGTTAGAGTTTTAAGTGTACTTCTAATCAAATTAATAGTGGGTAATGATAGGCATTTAATTATATTAGCTATAAGACAAAATTAGAATTTGTCAATCAGATAACATATAATTTTAACATTAATAATTATCTTAATGTTTTCCCTCTAAATTTAGTAGAAACAGTAATTAAAATTAACATATTCATTTTTTGTTATGCTGTATTCTTATATGTTAAAAAAACTACTCAAATGCATTATGCATTCATTTCTTGTAAATAAGGGACAGTAAAAGAAATTACAGTAGTCCCTCCCAATAAGGGACATCCACCAGACATCTGTGTCCCTTCTTCTGAGTGTACATCCCCAAAAAAATATAATTTGATTAGAAATTCAGATTGTATCAAGCTTTAAGTAAATTAGATATAAATATGTAACATAGTCACAGGTGTTATTTGAATCCAAAGTTCATGAAAAATGAAAATTCTTAATTTAAAAAGTTTAATTATTGCAAAAGTGAATAATGAACAATACACATGTATTTGTATAATCCACATATGTACATGTAAACTAGTGTGCAAAATTAAGAGAATTTGCATTATGTTAAATTTCTGGAAAACTAATGGACAGATTTTAATGAATTTGGTGTGAGCCAACATTTATAACAGAGAATGAGATGTACCATTCAAAAGTAATTTTATGTGCATATGATTCTCAATAAAGCTCATAGTGCAGGAAGGTCCAAAATCCATCTTGTGATATCAAACTGCAACTGAGTCTAATATGAGAGTAGTTCCTTCTCATAGCCAGACAGGAGGCATAGTGTGACCACATACTGGACAGGAATCCCTGTGGCAGTGATTCCCACTCCTGCAGCAAGGCAATTTTCAACTCCAAAATAGTTCTTGGTAGAGGATGGCAAGATGAAATTGTCCTTCCAAGAGCATCGCAGACATGCTCTAGAGGGATCAGGTTAGGAGATCTGGTTAGCCTATGCATGTGCAAATATTTTCAAGCTTCCAGGTAATAAATAGTTGACAATCTAAGTCATTAAGTGGACGAGCGTTGTCATCCATTAATACAATATTGGCCGGCAGTTGTACTCAGAATTTATCTCGCATCAATGCTATTATTTCATAATTGGATGTGAACGTGAAATAATATAAATAATTTTTAATATAATAATAATGTTTAATATCAACAAATTTATTTGATATTTCTTTTTGGTATGGTAAGCAAGTTACTTGTTACTGGTCAACAATGTGTTAACAGGAACAAGTACCGACTGTGCTCCTGAAAAGTTGAAAATAGGGCTCTTATGATCTCTGCATATCTCAGAGCGGTCAGTGAGCCTTTGTTAACCCTTTGACGCGCGCTATATTATTTTAAAAATTTGTTTAACTAAAAACACTAGAAATCGAATATTATGATCCTAGAGACAAATAATATATGAATTTAAAAAAATCTACTCCCGCCCATTAATCTGTGAGTGGTGGTTTCGCTATGAAACCAGCATGTGTCTAGGACTTTGAAACTTACTGAGTTAGTAGGAAAAAACAACTTGCCTTTTTCCGCACGCATTTCCAATGAATGACGAAATTTGCGAATAAAAAAAACTGCATTTAAAAATTGCATCAAATATAAAATTTTTACTTTATTTTACAAAGTATATCATCAGAAAAAAAATTATAATTTATGTAATTTTTCTGCAGGAGTGAAAACATAAGAACGTACATAATAAGGAAATCAGGACGCATTTCCAATGAATGACGAAATTTGCGAATAAAAAAAATCTGCATTTAAAAATTGCATCAAATATAAAATTTTTACTTTATTTTACAAAGTATATCATCAGAAAAAAAAATTATAATTTATGTAATTTTTCTGCAGGAGTGAAAACATAAGAACGTACATAATAAAGAAATCGGGATAAATATATTAAAAAAACTCAATAGAATATTAAAAAGCTCGGTAATTTTTTTTAATGTCAAAGAACTAAGTTATTTTTTTATGGAACTGTTCAAAGCATGTTTTATCTTTTTGGTACATGCATAAGTCAACACTGCACGTTTCGCACTTGTATCTTGTTCTAGGAGGTTTCTCCCTTGTGCTACAAAATCTACACCACCGGGTTTTGCATTTTATTGGCATATGTCCTGCGTTCTTTAGTCGTTTTTCATCTGGCACATAAAATTTACGTTTTTTTATGTTGATAGGCAGGCTTGATCTTTTTCACTTTGGTACGAATCCTTCGTTTCCCATTCATATCATATTACTGATTATATTCATTCTGAAAGACTTGAGTATTTTCAAACTGGGGTCACTTTCTGGAAGCATTCGGTATATAATGAAGGCGTTTATAATGGTGACATCAATAAAATGCAAGAAGATTCGATTCCACCATTTTTTACTTTTTCTATCAATTTCATATAGGCTTTTTAGTTGGTCAAAATAGTCCACATATTCCATATTCCCAAAATAATTTAGAAAATCACAGTACTAGCATAGAGAGCAAGCATATTGAAAGCAGAGAAAAATCTCTGGAAAGAAAAATATTTTATGGGGGCAGGTGCATGTATTGTTTGGTAATACAATAACTCTGCGATTTCAAAACCCCTTATCTATATCCGGGTGAAAATAAACACTTCTATTTCAAAGCAGCAAACATTACTATAAAGAGCAGTGGTTTCAGGGCACGTAACGCATGTGAGCATTGTAACGCAATGCTCTAGTGGGGCAGTGGTCGCGCCCTGAAACCACAAAGGAAATATCATAAATATACACAGGTTGTTTATATATGCAGTTTAATTATTGCTGTATTTTTATTGTTTATGATAGAAATAATGATGTGCGATAAAAAATTTTTTTTAATTTTAAGTTATTAATATAAATAAAAGGAAGTTATTTTGTCTCACTGAAAATGAATTTTAAAAGGCATCCGATTTAAAATACTAAGACCTAAAAAATGTATAGTTCTGCAGTAATTTTGTGTTATTTAGAGGTAAAAGATAAGTAATCAATCGGTTTTTCACTCAAACAGTTTGGAAACAGGAGCGGGAAAAATTTCGAAAATTGGTGGTTTCAGGGCGCGACCACTGCCCGTCAAAGGATGCAGGGGCATATAGCCGTCCAACATAATGCCTTTCCAAACCATTATACCATCACCACCATAATGATCTTTTTCCCTGATGAAGGGATGGTATTATGTTCCAGGTACATCAGAATCCGAAAATCAATGTCCAGGCTAAATCTCAAATCATCTGTAAAAAGCACAGTGTTCCACTGCAGTCTCATCCAAAGCACATATTGTCTGCACCATGTTAACTCCTTTACATCTAATTCGCCCCACACGGCCCTACATTGAAACAACCAGAACTGTCTAAAAACGGCCGAGATTGTAATCTTGTTTTCTTCCCTTCCCCTAAGATATGCAATTGCAGGTGCAGTTTCCCCAAATGCATTGTATCAGTTTACTGCAGACAGCTTGTCCTAAGAAATTTCTTATCTTTTTGTTGATCATGACATTTCGTTGTTATTCTTTTGTTGCACAGTGTGCTTTTAAGCTTTAAACAGCAATAAAAGAGCAATTTAAAAATTTAAGGATTATATTTATTTTTAAACAATTTATTCCTTCCTATAAAAATAACAGAAATAAACAAAGTCGGGATCATAACAAAGCCAGAAAGGCTTTTTGGTCTGACCTTCAGAGTAGTTTTATAAAGAACGGGGTCAAAGGCTAATGGAATCTTTGTTAGAAAGTACAAAGAATGTCATTGGAAATCTTCACACCTATTTTCTGCTGTGAAACTGGAAAACTATTCCGGGCGCTTCGGTATTTTGAGGACATAAGTTAGTGAAGGGTCTGGATTTCAAAGAGTTAAACATACTCTCTTGCATGCTGCAGGGACCGAGTCTTCTGGCATACAGCCCTATCTCAAGAAGATTTTTGGCAAGTGTAAACAGTGTAACTCAAATTCCAGTGGCAGTATAGCTCTAATAGAACTAAAAGTGCCAAATGATGATCCTCATTTGTCGTCATTGATCTTGATCAACCTTGTCCAGGTCTCCTCGATATGTATGAATCCAGTGTCTTGAAACAGTTTTCCACAGACTGCAGATGACTCTGGGTATTACACAAGCTCTGTAGCCACCTGCACTTTTGATTGGCCTGCGTGCAATATACCAACGAGAGGTAAATGCTGTGAAGGCACACAAATATCCAAAAACTCCTTGTGTTCTTATATTCCCTCTACAGTCACAACTCTGCCAGACGTGCCCATGAATGCTTATATATTTGACTCGGAATATTTGCATAATTCCTTCGGTGGCATAATTAGTACCTTTGCAAATTCTCTTAATTTTGCATATGGGCTTATATATAATTTAATTTAGAGAGTGATTTCTTTAACAGGTATTATTTGAAAAAAAATTGCATGTATAAATATTAAGTAGCACAACATCTTAATCTCATTAAAATAGAAATTACTGTGCTGAAAATCATACAAAGCAACAAAAATAATATAAACATACTTAGCATTTAATTTGTAGCAATGCTATTTTAATAGTGAACCAGTAAGGTGGATAGGTTAATCTTTTATCAGTATTACAATTGAGATCTATTTACAGAACTCGTAAATTGCAGAGTTCAGCGATTTGTATACAGCTACATTTATCAAAAGATGTTATAAAGCATTAAAATTTTGTGCGACTGAATACAGCATTGCAATTATTGTTATTTGAATCAATTATACTTAATTTTATAATATTACAATAGAATAATATCAGTGCTGCTCCTTTGAAACCTAAAGCCAGCACATCATCTCTTTGATGCCTTTCTGAGTATTTTAAATGTGCCAGGTATAGCCCACTTTGAAAAAACATTCCATTGTCCTTTGTTGCAAGTGTACTTACAGCTGCTAAGCTATTTACTGTATTAATGGTTTCAGTGTGATGTTTAAAAATAAGTTATTGTCAGAGTAATCTCTGAAGTACGTTGCAGTTATGACACTGGAAATACAGTTTAATTATGTGAAATATTAGACTCATAGCTTTTCTTTGTAGGTTCATAGGAAAGGTCTGCTACTGGCTAATCCTGAATTGTAGCAGATACTGTATGTACAGGAAAGTGATGTAAGTAGTAGATTTGTTTTATACTGTTTAAATGCTTGAGTTTTTTTTTTTTTTTATCTTAATATATATTTAGCCAAATTAGATAATGTAAAAGCAAATGATGCTCAGATCTTTATAGATGTCCTGTAGAAGTAAGACTTAGAATGTTTTACACTAATAGAAAAATACAGTGTCCATTAATGAAGTTTCTCTATTGAGAGCTGCCTAAAACTGTAATCGTTTGTCAGAAGTGTGTGAATCTTTGTGTATAGTATAATGAAATAATTGGAAGGACATTTAATAAAAAAGCCATTTAGTTCAAATATCAGCAGTATAGTAAATGGCACATTCGGTATACATTTACAGAAGTAGACATTTTGATATATACAATTTTCATTAAAAAAAAACAGGCTGCATATGGTGGCTATCATTGTCAGCTACCCTCTGAAATCACAAGATATCAAGTTCTACAGTCGAGCAAATTGTTGGACGTGTGCTTGTGTTGTGAAATGCTGTCGGGTAACTTGCTGGGGAAAGTCAAAAATGGCATGGAATCAGGAAGGCCACATGTAATGATACTACTGACTGTTCTTCTGTGGTGTCTTTTGAAAATATTTTTAACACTCTGCAGTGTATGGAATTCTGTCTTGCATAAAAACTTTGCTTCCAATGCCAGATCAGTTTCATTCTCTAGAAGTGCTGCATATTGCATCTCGGTTATTAGGCATCCATTGGAATTTTAGGAGTTAACATGTAGACGTATGGCCCTAGAATAAATGAAGCATGTCATCTGTGTCGTACATTTGGGAAATGCAATAGATTGTGTATGTTTGAGTACTGATTTTGTGAATCCCAAATTAAGCAGTTGTGAGTATTCAACAATCCAAATGAAAAATGTGTGTTTTTTTGTCTAGAGGATGTTTTAAAGCAATTTTGAGCCAATTTCTCAGTGAGCAAGAAACTGTAGTGGGGATGTCAGAATCATGTGGAAGCAACTGCTGTACAAGTCAGTGTCTGTACAGATAATATCAGAGGATATTCTATAGAATCTTACTTGCAGTTAAACACAGCCCATCCAACTCCTGTGTTATGCAGTGAACATAATAATGCTGGCCATGAAATTTGAAGGTCTGTCCTTCCCATCTACAATTGCAACCTCCTCTAATATCTCTGTAGAAAAGGTTGTTTTTCTTTTTTTAGTACGAATTGCCAACATAGTAACATTGCTTCTAATTTCATGATCGCTTTTCGGAGTCATTTAATGACTGAAACGTTTCGAAGCCTCTACAGAGTAAGAAATATCTGCAATGCATCTGGTGCAGAATCAGTATTTCGATAAAAGAATTTAACTAGCAAAAGGTGATCTTGCAAATCGGAAATCACTATGAATGGTGACCACACTCAAAATAAGTTCTCTGCAACAGCTGCTGCTTGGCACTGAAAAACCTTAGCATGTGTGCTGTGGTGTTTCAAAAGTAGGTCACCCACCAATGATGATATTCAAAAATAAATTGGTTTTATTTTAAATGTGTTTTTAATCCTTTATTATGCTGTACACTAAGTTTCACACTTTTTTGGTGACTGGTTACAGTTCTAGGCAGCTGCGCTGTATAATCATTTTATCCCAATTGACATAGTAAAAAAAAAAAAAAAAATATTACCAGACACATCACTGATGTTAACCAAAGTGCCATCTTTTCAAATTATTCCTGAGAGATTGTTTGATTATGAAAGTAATTAGTTTAGAAGATTAAGTAAGTGAAACTATGTAAATATTAATCCTGTTTCTAAATACAAGTCGAATTTTTACCTTAGTTTGTTAAACTTTACAGAAATAGTCTATCTTTTTTAAACATATTCCATGAAACCTTTGTTTTAAATGTCTAGAAACAGTTTCATGAGTAAAGGCCAATTTACATTTCTCTGAGTGACTTTCAGCGAGCCCCTTGCAACGGCATCTCAAACCGAGTGAACAGACCTGTAATTTGATAGATTGTTCTCACCAGTCAGAGCCAGACTGGCAACTCGCCTCCGTTTGTTTGTAAAATGGATACCGACATGGCAGTTGCAATGCTTGAAGTTAGCGAAGCAGTTTCCAATGAATTAATTTCTGTTCTGGGGGGAGAGAAGAAGAAATGGAAATCAATATGTGACTGGGTAGCTTGCCGTGATGCATTAAATCGACTTTTAAAATGAACTTCGGGGTGAGGATATCCGAAGTTAGAAAAACTTCATCAGAATAGATGAAGGATAGTTTAGAACTTTATTGGGAATGGTCACTCCTTATTCAAAAAAAAAAAAAAAAAGGTTCTTTCAGGATGCTCTGCCAGCAAAATTAAAACGCAGATAGTGCTTCAATTTCTGACGGCGGGCGACTCCTACAGTTCTCTGCAATATTTATTTCGAGTGCCAAAATGCACAATCAGCATATTTATTCCAGAAGTGTGAAAGGCCATTTTGTGTGTATGAGGTTGAGCAAAAATTATTAATCTTTTGCTTGAGCTTTCAAACACCCTCAAATTTTAACATGTTAGTAATATCCACATACGCCTTCTGTCGGCAATTTTTACTTTAATACTTCCGACTGATTCTATGTCAATACAATTGAATTTTTTGTTCAAATAAAAAGGAAAGTCTGTAAATAAAATTTCAAAATTTTAGCTTATATTTTATTAGGTGTAATTGGCCATGAGTAGAAACTGGTTTTAAGACATTTATAGCAACAAAATCAAATGTTTGCTCTTTCATTTATTTTTTAAATGAAAACAGTATTTTATTAGGTAGTTGAGTAACGTATAATTTAACTGTTTTTTTTTATTATTAAAAAAAATTCAGGAATAAATATTTTAAATCTGATACCCTAATTTAATTTTCTTCTGTGTTTTTTCTACAATATCAAAAACCGAAATGCATTCTGACCAGTAGTTATATCCTTATTATATTTAGGTAATAGTATACAGTGGTTGTAATATTCAGATAGGGAAGTATACCATAATACTTCACAAGATGCATATATATTAAAAAATGCCACAGTTAGATTATCGCTCTTTCTCAGCATTTTCATCATAACGAAAAAATTGGGCATGGCATCTCTGCGAAAACTGCTTGGAGTTGCTGCCTGGATAGATTTTCATCTGTTTTGAAATAGAAACGCAATCACTGACTCATCTCTCCAACGTTTCTATTCGGACGAAGTGAGCATTTACATTGTCAAAAAAGTCATAGCGAGAGGCTCGCTGTGCGTCACTCGGAGAGGTGTAAACTGGCCTTCAGATATGAAATCACAGTGGCATAGCTACAACCATTAGACTCAAACTTTCTAAGTTATGAGTCTAAAAAGTAGCCTGATGATTCTCGTGGTGGTGATGAAATGCCATTGGTTGTTTTATTTCCCTTTACATAGCAGACTTTTGATGTGCTTGTTTTGTACATACTTCAGAACCTCTTGTCAGAGAATGCAAATAATTCAGAAGTGCCAGACATTATATTCTGAACTTTATCTTTTTTTCTTTTTAAGAACTTGCAATATGTAAACTCGGTTTCAAAAGTTTTTAAATTTTTATACAGTAAAATTCTGGGTTCTATCTGATTACCCCCCTCAAAGTATACATGAGGTAATGCACTATGTCGCAAAAATATATTGGCACCCTAGGCATGCGTGCATGCAGAGTAGATGATGGCTGATTTCCATCTTCAGATTCAACGGTAATTTTTCTGGTTAGTTTGTTTTGATTGCATTCGATATTTCTTTTCGTACAAAGAATCGTTATGGAACTGTGGAGTTCCTAGGCTGATGAACATGAAAGTGTTGCATTTCTTCAGGAATCTGCTGTTTTCTTCAACAAAGAAAGCAGTAATTTTCATTCCATAAAGTTGCACTTAACGATTGAATTTTATGGATCAAAATTTGTGCAGTCCTCTGATGTTTTTAAAGCAAAATCAAATCACTGTGTACATTAGGAGAACAACAGTATGTGGAGACAGTTTTTGAAGCTAAAACAGATTGCTGTCTACATGGTGAGAAGAGCAAACAGAAAAGTAAGTATTTTATTATGGACATTTTATGCATTTTTGATTTTTGTCAATTGTTTGCTGTTTTATGTAATTCCTACTGTGCTGCCCTTTTTGAAAATGACTGTTGTCTTTCATGTCTTAGCTTGGCGAAAAATTAGTCGGCAACTGTATAAGGTATTTCTTCCACCTTCTTGGTGTGGTGGTCTGCATGCTGGGCGCGTATTCCAGAGGTCCGTGGTTTGATTTCCGGCAAAGGCATTGGACTCGAGTCCTGAACCCCTGGAATGCACTCTGAGTGTGCTACTTTATAAGGTATTTCTTCTGCCTTCGTGGTGTAGTGATCTGCATGCTGGGCGCATATTCCAGAAGTCGGTGGTTCGGTTCCCGGGGAAGGCGTTGCTCATTTTTCATATTTCCTGCTTCCAAAAAATTACGTAATGTCTCTACAGTGGCGCATGAACTAAAAAGGTGGTGGATGATGATTCTCCACACCCAGGATTTGGCAACTGGGTCCCCTAAAAACCCCAGTTGCCCTCTAAAAGGAGAAGTATATAAAGTATTTCTCCTGCCTTCTTAGCGTGCATTTGTGGTGTGGTATTCTGCACACTGGGCACGTATTTCAGAGATCCGTGGTTTGATTTCCAGCGAACGCGTTGCACATTTTTCATCTTTCCTGCTTCCAAAATACCTAATGTCTCTACAACTGTTGGCAAATTTTCGGGAAGAGGGTGGTGATATTTAGAAAGTGCAGAACTCTGATGATCAGCACTCTATTTTCGATCTCAAGAAACAATATTCCTCAAAAAATTCAACACGGAAGGTTTTTATGCTTCGCCATTCAGCACTACATGGCAAAGGAGGCATGCCTTGTAGAACACTTTTTTAAGGAAAACTATCCACTTTACACATGAGGAAAACCACAAAAATCTCATGCAGCCAGACCGTTTGCCAGGATTCGAGCTCCAAACTGAACTACCAGTGTTTAGCAACATTTTTTTATTATGTGT